AACTGAAAATGTGCACCCAAACGGCAGGCATGTATATTCCTCTGGGGGTTTCCTACAGTCGATGGTTTAATGCTTTGTGCTAATAGCCTGCAAATGAAAGGCCAATAGGAACTGGAGAAAAGAGCATGAAGCCAGCCTGCCAGGCTTTCCTGAGAAGTAAGAAATGCAAAAGCTGAGCAGCTGCAGGAAGCCTTGAAAGCTCTGTTTCCTCTTGTTCTCCTGCTCTCTGTTCACATCATGGAAAAGTGAGTGGTACCACCTCGCAGTGTCAGCTCCACCACACATTGTCCTTTGCTCTGAGGATGCCCAGAGAAGTGAGCTTCCCAGAAAGCCCTCATAAGAGAGCACAGGTGGACCCAGGAGAGGCACACCTTCCAAACTGGACTGTCACAAGCTCAACTCCATAGCTGCCCACCTTGCCTATTTCTAAAGGTTTGTATGTGCTTAGACTATTTTCCTACTCTGCTAAGGAACTCAAGCCATCATAAATTTGAAATCTTTTCGTCTACAAGTTACTTTTAAAAAGCCCCTCTTCTAGAATTTTTTTTCTACACAAATTGAGTTGCTATTTAATAATTTTACCTTTCCTTGAGATAACTTGGAATAGCATTGGAACTGTTCCATTATTTGCAATGCATTTCTTTAAAAAGCATCTTAATGGAGAAATATATGATATCTATTTATAAGAACAAGATTTGTGTTAACTGGAAATGTTCCATGGAAAAATATGTAATGATCTAATTTGCCTAAGTAAGCATATTTCCAGATACTATGCATCATTTTAAGCTATATTAACAAAAAACATTGTGCTCTATAATACATAGCAATTTTCTAAATTCTCAGGTTTTAAAAGATTCTTTCTTAGAAAAGCTATATTTGGAGAAGAATGTAAATGACCTTGTCATGCTTGATGCCAGTCCAAAGAGTGTAGGTACTTGAATTCAGCAAAATAACCTGATATATTTCAATAGTCCGTAATAGTAGTGAGTTATCAGCACAACTGGCAATTGTCTGAAGTTATTGACTTGAGCCTTTTACAGCTCAGCATATTAATATAGCTTTACTTTTTTATGAATTTAGGACAGGGTCTACAGGGTGTACAGGGTCTCACTATGTAGATTGGACTCATAGTGATTCTCCTCTTTTCAGCCTCCCAAGTGCTGGGATTACAAGCGTGCACCACCACGCCCAGTCTCAGTCACTCTCTCAGTGCACCCCGGGGCGGGGCCAGTATGGCATGCTTGGGATCAAAGCCCATTGCTGTGCTCTGACTAAGCAGGCACTTTAGTCTGCTGAGCTATCTGGCTGGCCCTAGCTTTACTTTTTATACCTCATGGTTACACTTTTGTGCTAGATGGTTAAGACCAAGTTAAAGGGGCTGGGGAGATGGCTCAGTGGAATAAGCACTTCCCTGGTAAGTGCAAGGGCCTGAGTTCAATCCCCGGTTCCACCAAAAAAATAAAAAGAAATAAAATCATGAACTTTAAAAAAAAAAAAAGACCAAGTTAAAGTAAGACCTATATCACTAAAAACGGAACTTTTGCTATCTGATATGGTCAGTCAAATCCCCTCAAGATTTACCCTGGAACCATTTACAGCACCTTGTAGATCTTTGGAACATCCATCTCTGACAAAACAAAACAAAAAAGGGGGATATAAATAATGGAATGTTTTGTTGTAGAAAAAATATGTATGTATATACAAGATAGTTAGAATAGATATACAGCTAATTTCTCTTAGTTCAATGAGCAGAAAGGTTTGTACTAATATTGTTTAGATAAGATATCATGTCTGATATCCGCTGAATAACTACTACAAAGACAACAATATGCAATGTATTAATTACTGTAACTGTCCTGCTAACCTGTTTTGAAACTAAATCATTATTATTTTATCTTTTTTCTCATGAAAATGAATAAAAATATTTTAAAAATTAAAAATATAGAAAATCCTTTCCTGTTCACAGGATGTAAAGCTGCACATCTCATTTGTAACACAACGCTCTCAGGCTCTCCATGGAAGTGGGCAGGGCTCTAAAGGTCAATCAAATAAATATTTCTCACAATTAGCTGTGCACCACGGTGGAGATGCTATAACCTTTTCTGGTTCCCGTGTTCAGTTGGATTTGTAAGGATGCCAACTATTCCCTTTATTTTTTAATCCAGAACTCTTTCTCTTTGTTTTTCTCCAATCTGCTCTACTTTGGGCTTACAAAAGCCCACAAGGGCTTTTGTATTTCTATTAGCTAGTACTCTCCAGTAACATGTGCTTCTGCCCTATGATATCCTCAATATCTAAAATGTACCATCAGCATCATTATTCTGTACACCCCAGTCACTGCACTTAAATAGCTAAGCTATCAAGTAGTGCCCCAGCTTTGAACATTTGCTTTTAAATTTACATCTCTTAAGTTTTCACAAGGTTTCTGGTTCTCTTTTGCCTCCAGATAGTAAGAATGTGAACTAGGGAAATCTGACCACCTCTGTTGAACCTAACTTGGTGAGAAAAGCTTGCTCCATCCCCTAGTGGGCCGGTGGACATGTCTGTCTGCCCAGCGTCTCACTGCAAAACACCCTACATTAACAAGGAGCACAATTTCCTTTTGAGGAACTGCTGTAGCTTGGATCTGAAATGGGCCATGCATTAAGGGCTTCTGCATCAGCCTGTATGGCTCTCAGCATAGGGTGAAACCTTTAGGAAGCAGAACGTAATGGAAGGAAGCTAGGTTATTGGGAGGGTGCCCTCAGAGGGGTGCTGAGGCCATGGCCCTTTCCTGTTGCTTTTGTTTCCGAGTTCACCACGTGCTCACTTTGTGACATCATCTGTTCCACCATCCAGAACAGGGCCAAGGGAACCATGAATTGAAACCAGGAGGCAAAAAAAAAAATCTTTATTCGTTTTAAGTTGATTATCTCAGGCATCTGTCATAGTAGTAGAAAGCTGATTAATAATACAAGAACCAAAAATCTAAGCACTGCTGTTGAACTGATGATACCAGAAATTTGGCCTCAGAATCGACTTGGCTGAAAAGTCAGTGATTGCCAAGGGATTGCAATCTCTCTGCCTATTCCTGAGCAGTCTCCCTGCCTTCAGCTTCCTTTATGCCAATCCATAGGTTTCCCAAACTCGGATGTCTGACTTGGCTCTGGAGTTTAACTCCGAACTTGTCGAACCACCGCAGAAGATGTTACGTTGACTCTCCTTCCCAGTGTCCTGGTCCTTTAACTACTAGGATCTTCCACAGAACCATATGGCAGGGGACACAGACACAGAAACACAGGCAGGCTATAGAGTCAAATAAGTTTTGGGTTAAGTCTCTCATCCTAGTCTGTGCTATTTGCCTTGCCTGAGTCCAGCTACAAGTTTGATTCCCTTGTTGACAAAATGTGGATAATGATCAAATGTTCCAACATACCGCCTACTGCTGGAGCCCAGTACACGTGCTCTTCTACTTTCATTACAAACATCCTCCACTTTCCATTTGAAAATTGGCTCCCAGGTAAGGACAGCAGATCTCACCCCCTCTTAAAACTCACTGCCTGTGACTAGTTTCTAGCCAAAATGACATGAATGAAAATGGCATATCGAACTATCCGCATGTGGCTTTCTTTCTTGTTCCCAGGATTTAGACCACGGGAGCAATATCAAGTCATCAGAAGTCACACAGATGAAAACAATAGCTCAGGGATAAAGAGGCAGCAAAAAGAAATAGAAAGACATGAGAGTGTATCTAACCACTGCAGGCATGGCCTTTATTACATTAACTGAATTTGCAGCCCAATGTAGGATTCCAAAGAAGTGTGGGATTAAAGGAGCTACTACACATAAATTGTGTAATATTTAATCAATGTATAATAAGCACTCAGGAATGGAAGCTGACACTATTACTGATAACCCCTGTCACTGCCACTAGGCCACAGACCTATAAGAAAACCCACATTGCACAAACATAGGAATGCAAAAATAAGAGCCATGATAACTCTATTGATGACAGCAAGTGTGATACAACATGGAATGTAGAAATCAAAGGCTGGTACAATTTTCCCCTGAGCCTTAGAAATTAAAAATTACAAACTCAATGCTCTGCTCACCGTGATAACCTACTGGGATCTGAACCGCCTGTGCCGCACAGGTGGAAATCATGGTGCGGCTGCTAAGTGGGACCAGCACGGAGCACATCTGCACCGGCTCACGCTTCATTACTTCCCACAGTTCCATCTCAAAAAAAAAAAAAAGCTATCTGGTCATTAGATTTGGTTGTCTTTCATCTTATTCAATGATGAAGATAAGAGCCAGGCCAGCAAGTTTCCATGACTCCCCTTTCATTGGTGTAGAATCATCTTTGCTTCTGGGCAGCAAAAAGGCAGAGCTTACAAGAGCTACATCTCTCTAGAGAAGGCTGAGGCATGCATCTCCTGCTCAGGGAGTCTCTTCTGCACAGTTAACTATCACAGCCATCCCCAGGCCACAGGAACCAAGGAAGCTATTTCTTCTAGGCAAATTTCTGCAGAGAAATTCTAAATACTAACATACACTTTCTGAATTTATTCTTATACTTTGTAAGTGTGTCTACACCCACAGAGAAAACCAGGCTTCCTCTGAAGGGGGAAAGTATGAGGGTCCGAAGTCCAAAGAGTACGGGTGGGATCTACGCAAGCATTAGCTAAGTGGCATCCTACAGTGGCAGCATCAGCCTGGAATCCCCCATCTGAGCCCGAGTATAGAGTATGACCAGCCCAACAGCCTGAGCCCATTCCAGCTGAGCCTGCCTTGGCAAGGGTGGCTCCCAGCTCAGCACCTCCGCACATGAGTTCAGGGCTTGCATCCCAGTGCTAAGGCGCATGCTACAGTGTTCCCTACAGAGGTCCAGCCAAAGCCTCTCCAGGAGCCTGTGCAGACACCTGCAATGGAATGCACAGTGCCTGTTCCGGGGTGCCCAGGTTAGATCAGCAGGGCAGCAACTGTCACTGAGCAGGAAGATAATCAAAACTGAAGTACACCTTTCAGCTCTGCAGAGACTGGCAGCCTGGAGTTTTGTTGGTGAGCTGCAAGGTTGCGATCCGGTGTGTCATGTCTAATAATTTTCTCTTCTGAAGCCTGATGTGCCAAGAGTTCTGGGTTGCTCATGTTGAAAGCTGGATTTCCAAAGCCTTCTGTAGCGTCTCTATCTTCTTCAACTGGAGCAAAACAAGGAGGTCAGAAGAGCATACTACAGCAAAGGAGATTCCACTGACAAGCAGAAAATTCCTCCCAGTAATTCTTGTGCAGAAAGACTCATGTGTATCGTCCTCAAATGTCACCAAAACAGAATTAGGTTAAAATTAACTCTTAAAAAAAAGAATAAATGATTAAAATAATTACAAATTGCACCCTGACAAGCAAGAGCAAAATTTCGCCCACAGCCATTTGTCTGTAATTAGTTAATTAATCCTTACACAAATTATGAGCAATAACTCATCAAGCAAGGCTCACCCATCAGAAATTCAGCCGACTTGGATTTCTTCTGCTCAGTCTGCTTCAGAGCCTTCTGCTGAAACTTCTGGAGGGAAATTGTTAAATGAATAAATTAGCTAAAGAATGAAGATCATCATTTATGATCCACAACTAACACAGTATTTTAAATATGGAATGGCACTGAAATGTCATTTAATTTACATCTCTCCTAAAGGGGTCAAACACTAATTGAACATCAGAAGTGGAAGAATTAAATAAAATACGATAAGAAAAGTTAATACAAATGCCAAATGAAGGTCACATTAAAATACTTTGTTTTTATCATTTTTAATTAATACAAAGAACCTCAACAAATTAAGAACACTGGAAAACTTGCACCAAGAAATTTGCACTGGTCAATGTGCCTTCATTGTGGTGCAAATTCATTTCTTGTTGGTAAAACAGAATTATCTTGTAGAAAACTTGTGTGTCTTGCGTGTCTGTCCTTGCCTGTGTCTGTATTTGTTTTAAACTTCTGCAGGCCAGTATGTGAACTGATCATTTATTTAAATCCAGTCAGAGATATATATGATCCAATCTTCTTAAATTCCAGTAATAGATAAAATAACATGAAATGCCAAGAGAATGATACTCTGTGGAACTCACAGAGCTTTCAGTAGGTGCCACACTATGCAAAAGCAGAACTCATTACATGACTGAAAAACCCATTAATATGGGGATGCATAATAAATGTTCAAAAATGAAAATGAATATCCAGAAATATTATTAGAGTGCTCAGGCTCTTACAAGTTTCAAATGACTACTTGGTAACTGTCAGACTACTTTAAAAAAAAAAAACTATCTGTAGTAGAAATGCCCAGACTCAAATTGAATTATAAAATTTACATTAACAAAGAGCAAAACATCAAGAAAGATAAAGTCTGTAGAAATTAGCAAGTCACAGTTTATATGTAAAAGAGCTCTATGTCAAACAACTCATTTAATGACCTTCTTAATGACTAGATTCAGAATAATAAAATGCCTTGTTCATTCTGAAACCCTGTCTGAAATTTCTAAAATGTCTGCTTTTAGTTAAAATGCTTATAATAAGCCTGACTTCTTTTGAAAGTATTTTATTCTTCTTATAGCATAAAACAATTAAGTCACAATATTATAAATCGTATAAAGAGCAAAACAAGTTAAAAATTGGCTAGCATGTATGTCACGTTGCCAACCAAAGTACAGAGCCTATTTTTCTGGAAATCTCTCCCTTGAAACAAACTAAATATTTGGTGGGCAATGCATTAAACAATGATTGCATACCATCATCAATAAAATTTGAGAAAAATGTACACAAATATTCGTTGACTTTTTCTTTCAAAAGATAGGTATATTTTTAAAAAGATAGGTATGCAAGATCTACCTGAATGTGCAAGTAAAAATTACAGGAACAACAAAACCAACTAATATTTCAAGATCCTCCTTTCAAGAAAAGGCACAGCAAGTCTTATTTTAGAGAAAAATTTAATCATTATTTTCCCTATGGCTAAAAAATTCTGAAATTCTCTTACTCCATGTTATATCCCTAGCTGAAGTGGAGTGGTACATTGCTCAGAACCACACCATTTAGGAAGCATAAATAACACCCAAGAAGTTCTCTCATGATCTCGTTAAAACCTAAAACTTGCTTAAATACTAATGCATTAATATGTAAAATGTAAGAGAGATTTACACAAATTGAGGTGATTCCTGAATTTTAATATAAAGGATAAAGAGGACATTCATTAAAAACTTTAACTCTTAAAAAAGTAGTCCCCATCCGCCCTAAAGGTTCCGACATTTTATTAAGAAAGAGGTTGAAGTGTGATTGTTTTCTTCACAGCCTTCATCTGAGGTAACAGCAGATATTAGTTTTCTTGACATGGTTCGGTAATTTTGGCACTTCAGCCCTTTCAGATGGAGTTAAACACGCTCTTAAATAGATGGATGTGGCCTATTAACAGACCTCATTTCCTTACTAAGGACTTCAAATGAAATTATGTACTTGCTCTCTAATGCTAGAAAGGTCTGGAAGATATTTTCGCAAGTGCACACATTTTCAAACAGAGCAAAGCCTGGTTGTACACACCACGGAGGAGTCCTCTGAGAGGACCACCAAGCGACGGCTTGGATTCTCTGACCTCTTTACTGCTAACACGTGCTCAAGAGGAAATCAGGAGCGATGGCTGACTCCTCTCCACCACACTCTTTCCTCTCCTTTACATGCGGGCACCTTCAAGCGGTGTAAATTGGATTTTCTTCCACCCCCCTCTCAATGTAGATTCTCCCTTTCCTGATGGGATTTTATCTGAGGTTCACAGTACATAATCCTTCACTCATATTTTACATCGATTCATTTATTATTACCAGCTATGTTAGTGCATTTATGTAAATGGTAGCGTTTTAATAAGTTTACATGAACTTATTAAATAATCTATATCATATGGCAAAAATTAAATTAAAGAAGCAAAATTTACTCACTAGCATCTTCCTGCTTCTCACTGATGTGTATTCAGTTTTGAAGATAAGCAAAATATCTAGAAATCTGAACTAGATTTACTACGGACATGCCCTGTGGCGTTTCGCTATCATGTTTCTATTTGGTTGATATAATAAGGCCAAGTAACTCTCTAAATCAAATCAAAGGAAGCGGTTTCTCATATCATATTTTAAGCTTTTTTATTGTCATATGAACAAATAACAAGATATACATTCATAAATTTTTAAGTGGACACATCATAGGCTAATTACAAACACACTGCTGTGCCTCATATCTCCAAAACTTATTCATCTTGTACAACTGAAAGATAATACATTTCTCTCATACATGTATTTATGTTGGGAGCAATCAGCTTTTTAACGAATTTTAGAAAGTTCATCCTATGAAATGTATGATATAATGTGGAAGAGAGCAGTACTCTGATTTAAACAGGAAAAATATATGCCTGAAATTTTAAAAAATCAACAGTGTTTCCAGTGTTTTCCTTTTCATTAAAAGCAACAAATATCTTGTGATGCCAACCCTCTCAAGTTGAAAGGAAGTCTACGAGAGAGTAGCAAACACAGGCAGCAACAAACTCATTTATAACCAGTGACAACCCAAACCCATGAAGTTTTTAAAAGAATGTGATTGTTGTCAGAAGGAATCAGGTCCCACGGCGCTGCTCTTCAGCTCTGGTTGCACTCAAAGCCGCGGCTGAGGGGCGAGGGGAAGTGTCTCCAAGGCTGGTGGGCACAGACCAGCGCGAGAGTGAATTCTGCATACTGTACGGATCATCGCTCAGTTCAGGGCAGTCAGATTGCATCTGGGATCAACCGATTGTGCTTCATGAAACCGTCACTCCTCATTTGTGTCTCGCTGTTTTCTTGTGCCCAGCTGTAAACAAGGCCGGCTGGAGTTGTCTGCCTCCTCTTATCCGCTCAGGCAGATCACATACTCAGACCTCGTCAGCGCCTACAGAGCTCACGTTAAAGTTCTCGCTCACAGACAGCGGTTCCAGTGCACCCGGGGAAGGCGCAGGGAGAAGCAACTGCAGAACGACAGCGTTAGGCCTCCTGTGTGGAAACGCAGACCTTAGATGCCTACACGTCCTGGCGTGGCACGCCACTGCTGTGAAGTGAAATCAGGTGTTCCTGATACGCACAACTGCCTCTTTAGGCGGATAAGCTCAGCAGAGTCATCTTGTCGGGAGGGCGGCGGTGGTGGTGGTGATCACTTTGTGGTTTTACTGCTCTGGGGCTTTGCTTGGATCAGCCAAAATAAATAAAAATAAATATATAAAAAGACGTGGACAGAAATACTGTCAATCTGGTCCAACTCCAGGAAGCTAATCATGCCTGAATCGCTCGGAGGAGCGTAGGGATGGCAAACAGGAACAGGTACATTGGCTTCTGTTCTCGACCACCTTGGCCTTCCCTGTCAAGCGGAACAGGAGTTTGCAAGTACATCACATCAGTAATAAAAGACAGGGGGCATACAGGAAGCCCCTTTCCTTGGCAAGTGGCACAAAGGTAATATTTAGTATTCACTACGTCAAATTCTCCAAGCCAGCTGGTGTGGCCCTGTTTAGACTTTCATTTATGCAGCTTGAGCTGGAATCTTTTTTGGGCTCCCAGCCTATGACTTTGTCGATTTAAAGGATAACAGCCAAAGCGAAACAGCTTGCAGTTTGCACCTGTCTGCTCCAAGCATTCCATGTTAGATTACATGGAGAACGCCTCTTTCACTGCTAATGAAAACAAGGCTGAGGAGGGCTGAAAGCAGCTTTGTTGAACAAGGGAGTTATAGAATATTTTTAATATTTTTTTATTTATTTCTCATTGGTGTGATAGAAACCTACCTATTTTCACATTTTGGAGTCCCCTAGAATAAAAGAGCACAGTGCAGAAAGTGTAGAGCTGAGCACTTTTTGAACAAATGGTTAAATGTCATGTAACTAAGAACTGGATTAATATTCAGCCTGAGTTGCTTCAGAAGAGAAAAAATTTAATTCTGAATTATATCCAAGTTGTCATAAATGTATGATTATCTATGGAGACTTTTACTTCTAAAATGGACAATGAAAGAAAGTGCATTTAAACCTTTTAGGCATATTTAAAAAAAAAAAAAAAGTACTTTTGGAAGTAATAACAAATGCCTGAGCATAAATTCTTACTTCTCTGCCTAAGTTGCCTTCACAAAACTAATTTGTTGAGGTTAAAATAAAAATTCAAATACATGAACTAAAAATTTATACCTAGAAAAACATACATGCATTTATCCAGCTATCACTATGTGACTCTTGGAATTAATTCTCCATCACTGAAAAACTGTGGGAACCTGCTCTTGCCTCGCACCTTTTCCTTTCCTTCTCTGTCCACCTCAGCTCTGATTACTCCAGGAATTATACCCATGGTACCATCTATTTTGAAATAATTTAAATGAAACTCATTAAGATGAAAGAACATTAATCACGGCTGATAGCATTCCCAAACCTTATTTGTGTTCAAAATGTCATCATAAAACCATTTAAATAATTAAGCCAATAGTCACAAAGATGATTCAAGAGTTATTAAAGTAAAATTTTTTAAAATGCAATATGTTCAGCCAAGTTCCATGCTACATTTCCATTCTAAACATCTCCCTCATTGCCACGTCCTGTTGAAATAATAACTGATATGACATGGGTTAAGTGAAGTTGAGGTAGTCGCAAATGTGCATCGCTAGCAATGAATATGATTGAATGTGGTTGCTGCCCACATCTTGCCTGACAGATAGCATTCCAGCTTGCTTGGCGATGACCCCTTCAGCACGGCTTTAGGATCTTGGCCAGCACTGCTGAGCCTGGTTAGGTCAAGGGTTGAGCCATATGTAATTCAGAACAGAGGAGGTCCTACGTTCATGCCACAAAAACAATTACACTACTTATTTCACTCTAGCCCTGGCCCAAAACTCACAAGCCTCGTGGTTTCAGTGAAGTCAATCTAATTCTGCCCCTGGGCGATAAGCCACATGAAAATATGTGGAGCTGTGTTTATAAATCTAATCAAAAATAGAAACAGCGGACAGGCACAATGAGGTCCTACTATGGATCATGGGAATCCTTGGAAATTCTGAAGGCACTTTTGTTTAACTTCCACAGACTCTCTTTAGCTCCTACATTATTTGCTACACTCATTAATCATCCTCTTTCCCCAGGAGTACGACAAAGGAAGCTAGATTTCTACTCACTTCTATACTTCCTGTCCGTGGCTAATATTATGAAAAATAAAGCTTAAAAGGCTGCTTTTAAAAGAAAATATCAAAGAGGGAGCTACTGTTATATCAATCTTACCTCTCCATCCATGTTCTCAGCTCCTTGCCCTTGGCGATGCACAGATTTAAATCAAATTCTTCTAAAAAAGAAAAATCATACATTAGAATAAAGTGACCCAACCGTAGATAGATGCAGCCATTTGAGGTTGGAGAGCTATGATGCCACTTCATGGACTTGGAAATTCTAAGTACAAAGCCAACAAGATTTAATTTGATGTCTTTTTTATATTTCTCTTATTTAACCAGACTCCTAAAATACTTAGCTTGTATCACATTCTCAGAACGTCCTACAGACACAGTCTCTAGCAAAAACTCAGGTTTGAGTTAGTTAACCAAAATTTCCTATTTTACCCCAGAGATGGAAAATTTACAGTACTTTGAAGTTATTGTGACAACTTGTCACTGTATACCTTAGGCAAACATGCTATGCTTATTTTTTTTAAAGTTATGAACCATTTTTACAACTGTCGTAGACAGATAACTGATAAAGTCAATGATAAATATGCATACTTATTTATGTATATCTATAAAAGAGACCAAACAGTAAACCCCGTAAACATTATTCAACATAGGTATGGAATGTAAAAAATTTAAAGAAAGGAAATAGGTTTTGAACACTCATAAAACTGCTTAGAGTCATGCAATAAATTATCTAGTTAAGTGGCAAACTACTCTATCAGATATTATTTCAGATGACAGAAATACTATAATAGAATACAATTACAGCCAAGATGATTATAATAAATAGGAATTTTAAAAGACAAATGATGGTCTCAGTATTTATTAAATTATTATAAATATTGTGAAAGGCATGTTTTAAGCTTGGAATTTGCCCTTTTGAAATGATTGCAAATATTTGACAGTAAAACAATACAAATCACTTGTGAATGACACATATGGCACTTCCTTTAATTTAGAGCCACCAATTATACTTTAAAGTCACTTCATGAAGTGCACATGAACTCTTAAATAGCCATCAGTATTGAAAAATATTAGACTTTTAATTTTTATAGTGCTAATTTCAAAACTGATATTTTTGTGTAAGGATAATATAAAAGATACGGAGATTATATTGAATGATTATCTCAAAAAATGGTAGAGGTATGTGTAAGATAATTTAAAAGAAAAAACAAACAACAACAAAATGGGAACATGCTGCAGAAATTGAAGTTGAAAGCGCAGTAACTGGGAAGCATTCAAAAGCACAGATTTTGAGGATGTGCCTATGTGGAGTGGAAATTGGTTTTATTTCTTTGATTGTGGTCCAAATCTAACAATATTAGTCTTTTGAAAGTTTTTCGTTCTGTAGAATCACTCATGTGACTGCCATCATGAATGAACTCTGGGAACAAGTAATCCAAAGAGAAGATAGAAAACTCACACGCAGGTTATGCCTATTAATGTCAGTAAGTGCTCAAAAAACTTTCGAATAGTGCAGGTAACTTCTCTACCTTTGTAGAAATATGTAGTTTATACATCTTTTTTCATGAGTATTGAGAATGTAGTGTTAATGTGGTAAGACTCAGTGTGATCGTGCTAGAAGACCAAGTCTCTCATTACCTTGTAAAAAAATATGAGGAAGCTGAATCAGTAAAGCGGTCTGATACAGACCAGCAGTGTCAATTAAAAACATCTATCCAAGAAGGGGTCTAAAACTGCCTTTTCCTCATTTTGTGAGTAACGGGTGTGGCCCAGGGTGCTCTTCCACCGGAAATCGCTAGAAGCTTAGTCTTTGCGTCTTCGGGCACCAAGCTAGAATTGGAGGATTGTGGCAAGGTCCCTCATAATCCAGAAACAGCCACCAGAATGGTGATAAAGAACACGTGGGCCACAGAGAGCCAAAGGGTAATTGGTGCACATGTGACCTGGCTTGAGAAATCATGAGATTTGGGCAAAGTTGGCCTTGATCGAATTTTGTGTGTGTGTGTGTGTTTAGGACAGGGTGAACAGGGTGTACAGGATGTACAGGGTCTCATTGCATAGATCAGACTCATAGTGATCCTCCTGTTTACAGCCTTCCAAGTGCTGATATTACAGCTGTGAGCCACCAGGCCCAGCCTCAATTGCCATCTCAGCGTGCCCTGGGGT